ATAACTGGGGCCATTTTTCCTGGTATATAATTCTGTTTAATAAGTTGATAAGTGAGGTAGCAATTTCCGCTGCTCCAACTCTTAATACAAATGGGAGAATAGAGTCCGACATAACCAGATGCTTTCTTGACTTTCAGTGTCTCCATCACTTGTGGAACTTCTGCTTTTTGAATAGGCTTGAATGCAAGAGCTTCATGTTGGATAGAATACTGCATGTGCTATTTGTAAGACACTTAGGTGGTTAGTGAAATCACTTTCGGTTAGGGAATCGACATTCCCCCCACCAATATCATCTGCAATTGTCGCAAAGTAACCGGCCAGCGTTTCCGCTATCTCATCTTAATGCCTGACAATTTCTTCACCAACTTTGAGATTTAATTGGGAGCTTTTTTTGGACGCCTTCGAGCTTAAGAATGGCATAAACGTTCTATAGAAATCTGCTGAGTTCTCCTTAAGATGATTCGGTTTATCCCTCCAATACGACTTGATTGCTCTTCGCTTCATTGGCTTCATTGCGGCATTTACGTAGCTTATCCCAGTTGGAGTTTGATTTGTCCTTGTAATAATTTGCTAATGCCTTTCTCTTCGCTCTAATAGCGTTCTTCCAGTTTGTTGTCATATATGGCACATCCTTTGCTCTCACCCTAGTCTTCCTCTTCTTCTCATCAGTAATATTAGTCAACAGAGTATTCCAGTAGTGGACTTGGTCATCCAAATCGTCAAAAATTTCTCCAACATGCCATGGGGCTTCAGAGAGGTCCTGGGTAAACTTGTCACAATCAAAGTTTTTGTAACTTCGAAAAGTTATAACTTATAACTGTTAGGTTGCATTCCTTTTAGCCAATCTAAATCCGGATTTTGAGATCGAAATTCGATTTTTTTGTTCCATTAAGGACCAAACCAATCTAAGATTGCAATCCGAACGATCTACCTCTGAGCGTGGATCGTTCAGATTGGTATCTCAATCTGGTTTCATATCTTTGTTCCATTTAATGAAACTGCTCTTCGATCGCAAAAACGTGCTAGTTCATCAGTAAACACGGCGGGTCTAGGTTAGTTCAGGCAAAAGTTATTTATATTCCCCCGTTGTTCTATGCCGCTAAAGGATTGTAGTACATTCAACTCAAGTTCCACTGTCACTCTAAATCCGTTAGGAAGAGAACACCCTTAGATTTTCTCACTGTAAAACTATACTGTCCAATGTCTGTGTGTGTTTAGAACGCGCTTCTCAGCGCTTGAGAATTCGTATTGTCTTCTGAATTTTCTTGAATCAAATTCCAGATAACTTTAAGTTGATGAGTTCCAGTATGAACCACCACTAGTTAAAGAGCTAATTTTCTCTCCGTCCCTCCACGAGAAGATGCTTAACTTAGCAGAAAGAAGTAAAAAATGATGCGTTGAAATTGAGAAGAAGATCGGAGCGGCAGGCTGCTGCTGTATGGATCAATCTTATTTTAGATTTTTGTTCCGGCTAGCACGAAAATCCAAACAATCTGGATTGTCCAAATCCGAAAAATGTTTGGCTAAAAGGAATGTAACCTTAATATTCAGATGACATAGTAAGATATCATTACAGTTTTTCCTTTTATTCTCCAGTTGCTCATTATCTTGTAGAGCGTAAATGCCACGTGAGTCGTCATGACTTCCATCGTTACTCTCGGAATCAATAGATGAGTTAATTGTCGAGTTCAATGTTGTATTAGAGAAGGGAAAAGCTGATAATAAACAGGGTGGACAGATCCAGCTAAAGCCACCCATCTGTTGGAATTCTCTGTACTGTTTTAGAGTAACATCACCACACTTTATGTGGCACTATGAATCACACTGGTCAGAACTTAATACTCGATGGTTTTGAGCAACAGTTTTGGGGCAAACAACGCAATTTTCGGGCCCTGGATTTACACTGATATCGCTGCTAACAATCAGACGAATTAGGTGAAAACTGCAATCCGAATTTGAGTAGTAGTTGACTCTTGAAGCAAAATACCCTTTGCCACGAGGGAAGGATACAAGATGGCGGACATGCTTCCAAAGGCATGCATACTGCTTTTGTGGTGGAATTTTATCTGTGTCGCCACCTGAATTTGACCGGGAATGGAAAAGACAACTCCGGAGACTTCTCAACGTATTTTCACTCACATACGATGAAGTAAGCGCCAGGAAAATAACAATGTCCAGCGACTCACATTATCCTTAGAAAAACAAGCTGGAATTTGAAATTCATTGCTTTAAGAGAAATCATGACTGAGTCTCATCGCAATTCTCTATAGTTGATGTAGCTCCACTTTAAGCTGCAATCCATTCTTCGAGATTTGGATCTGAAAATCACTATCCGTGAGAATTTAACAGCTTGCTAAAAACGCTAAAGACCTGGGCCCAGCGTGACAAAACATTGCAGGAAACTGTCATATTCACGGACAAAAAGAAAATCGCTTATAATTATGCAGATTCCAGGAGGCATGTTGGAGAAATTAAGGTGGCCCGTTCCTATTTATATGCG